ACCCGGCTGTGGCCGCTACCAAAGAACAAGTCGTAAGAGTTATTTGCGCAGCGTCAGAAGGCTGGTCATGTGAGTGAGATAAAATCTCTGCATTGTAGTTCATCATTCAGTGTAAAGTTATCTACACCCAGATCGCGCATTGTTCACGCTTTCGGCAAATTGTGCGACGCGGCCATACCTGCTCAGGCTCTGGTCCCACGCAAGGCGTTTGTGAGCGTGATCTTATCTAGCTAATGTTTTATCGGTAGATCATGATTGGTAATGGATTGTTACCAGTGCAAAAAGACATGACGGTCGACTAAATCTTCCACATCTTGCTGCTTACAGTAAGTTATTAAGGTTGCTGCAATCTAGTCAGGCTTGTAAAGCTGTATTTTGTACATCCTCAGGTATGTTGTTGTGGTGATTAATATTTTACAGACTTGTGACAAATTACAGATGTTTTATCAACATTAAATAAAACAGATCGGTACGATTGCAAAGTGACATGTCACTTCAATTGAAAGACAATCATTCATTTCAATTAACTCCCGAATCTCGGCCGTTAATTACTCGTGAATCAAGTGATCATCGACAGTAGTCTAGACGTATTTTGTGATAATGACCGGACGTTGATAAAAGGGAGTGACAAATGCAAGGATAATTCATCGTTGTAGAAATTAATTAAGACCGGAACACGCGCTCACCCGCTGACATGAATCTACTGTGGAGCCACTCTAGAGCATCTTTGAATCTTACGGCACCAACCTGTAAGGGACCTGCTTCAGCTCATGTGAACGCCCTCATTGAGCCGCGTTAAAAGCTGTCAGTGAAGAATGGCTGATAATTTCAGAATGATTTTATCACGATACATTTTAAATAATCCTCACGAACAGACCAAACTACAATGTCTGCATTTGTCAATGTAAGATATGCAAAGTACGATGATAAGCAACTGTCATAGATAGAGCTCTAAAGCTGACAAGTCGCTATGTGTAATGATTTTATAAAGCCAAAATACTACCACACCATAGGACACACATCGACAATACTACTAGGGATGCGATGATCCGTCTGGGTGGAAAATATAACTTAGCTTTTGCAGCACCAGAATTTCGACGTCATACCGCCAAACCTCAATACTCCAGGCCTATGCGAGTAAGGTTGAGCTTGTTTCGGCTTGGGGGAGATTGTGGCTGGGTATGAAGTTTACTTGATTCTTTAATGAATACGTGCCTTGACTATAATGGCGGACTATCTGTTGACCGATGGTCAATCTGAGCGTGTGAATCGCGTCGCTGTAGCTCTTCGTAGCGTCTGCGCTGTGACGCCGAAGCGCTGGAGCGCGATGCTGCCACTCGTAAAGTTTACTCTAAATAATGCAGTGCATTCTTCTAACGGCTACACGCCGTTCTACGTAAGTGGGTTTGTTAATCCTCGCGTCCCGCTGACGCCGCCATCCCAATGCTCAGGGCTTGGTGGGAGGAATAGCTGAACGGCTAGCTGAAATCATCCTCCTCACTGTCTGTAAAGAAGTCGGAAACTTCCTCTCTACCATACTAGTGTCCTACGACACGTTTGCGATGCGATGGCTGAAAGCCAAGACATGCAGAAAGAATATGCAGACGGAAGAAGCAGAAGAAATGGTGAGACGGAGACCTGGTTCAAATAAATGATAAAACCTTCCTCCATATGCAGTCTCTGCTGGCCTTAGACAAAGCTCCGTCCACGGTTTATCGGACCTTTTAAGGTCGTGACCAAGCTAGGCCTTACGTATACGCTAAAATCTCCGAGAAGGATGCACACCCACCCGGTGTTCTATGTGGGCTTGCTTGAGTCGTACCGGGATCCGGCGCAAGTGAACGCGGAAGCGTTGGCGCCGGGCGGCGCCCAAAGGAGCTTTGCCACCCAGAAGCCGAACCAGCAACTGGGTTTGAATACAGAGCGCAACGATCTCCGCTTCCAGCGGCGCCAGCGCTCCACCGTCGCACGAAGTGACGTATTCGTCTGGTCGACGGCTAAGAGCCGCTCCGACGGAGCGTGATAGCCCAAAACGTGAGGCTTCGCTGCACGAAGAGCTCCCATCTCTCGAGGTCTTCTGCACAGCGGTATGCGACCTCGAAAAGATGCTCGGCAGAGTGCCAATGACGACTAACTTTGTCCTCCAGAGTTCGAAGAGCATCAAGATCACTGCACGGCGAACGAACAAGTCGCCATCGTCCGCCAACGACTCTAATCGAGGAGAATGGTGGTTTTCACTACCACGTGGAGCGCCTTGTAGATCGACGTCGCCGACAGGGTCAAACCCAACATCTTATGAAGTGGCGGGGATATCCAAACTTCGAGAACTCGTGGGAGTTGAGGTTCCACTTCGGCAAGACTGCACAGACGTCGTGGATGCTTATGATCAGAAGGGTCACGACGCTCCGCGCCGCCGTGCACCCCGCGCCTCTCGGTAATAGCCAGGAAAGCCGAAAGGCCATGAGCTGAGCTCAAGCTACGGTCCTGAGCTGCTGGTTGTAGACTCACCCGTGTGAGAAACCACAGAGCTCGAGGGAGCACGATGAATTCATCCATACGTCGCATGGCGACAACACGAAAGAAGTCGGCGATGCGCCTTGTGTTTGGCAAGCTCGAACCCAAGATGGCGTACCATGCGCACGTTCACTTCCTTGTTGCTTCACCGTAGATTGGACATGAGGGAAACTCCTGGTGCCGCTGCACCCATCCTCTAAGATCTCATCATCATCTGCAGCGATTTTGCCAGGGGCTAGCACCGCAGTTGTCCGAATCGCGGGAACAAAAGCTTTTACCCGTTGAGCGCGGAGCCGAGCGCGGAGCCGAGCGCGGTGCGTATCCATTTTGATTTGTTGCGGTTCCAAGAAGCGAGCTTGCAGAGCTTCTTGTTTGTCAAGCACAGCTTGTGTAGTGGCCGGGGGCCTGACCACGTAGACGCCCAAAGATCGGGTG